TTGTTGGGGGGGGGGGGGTCAATTAGCAACAGCATAGTGTATTGCACAAAAGCAAAAAAATGAATATAAATTCAAATCATATAACCAATTCTAAGTTATTTGGCTACAGTTATTCGGTGTCAGAAACCTATTATGTGTCAAATATTTAATTACAATCCAAATTCAGACATGTATCAAGCACGAATATTGTGTCCATTTTAGCCCCAACTGTTCAGGGTTGGACCTCTGTGGTCGTATCCAGATGCGCTCAGCGAAGCATTTTATTATTCTTCGATAAAATGCTTGTATATTTTAACATTTTCAAATACAGTCCCATCTGGGACTATTATACTATAATACTATAGTATAATAGTCCCAGGTCCCAAGCAGAACTAAAAGGATACCTATAACTAAGTGCACAACCTAAGTAGTAAAAATAGATCAAATACTAAAAAGGCTGGGTTGCACAGAATGTTTCTTAAACAATGGAAAATACTCTAAACTACACATTTAAATATTTGATTAATGACTATTAAAAAGATCCAAAGTCTGGAAAAATGAGAGAAAATTCTTCAAACAATTCCATAATAGCAGGTGCATTACTTCAACATATTATAAATCTTCCTGTGAAGTTTCAGGGATCTGGGTTGAAAACTGTAGAAGGATTTGGTTACACAAAACTTGTACTCTTTCACAAATTTAGATGAAAAAGGACCAAGTTCTCCAGTCTAGAAAAATGAGAAAAAAATCCTCAAACAATTCCATAATAGCAGTTGCACAACTTCCAACATATGTGCAATCTTCCTGTGAAGTTTTAGGGATCTGGGTTTGAAAACTGTAGGAGTTGATAACACAAATTAGGTACCCACTTTTCCCACCAACACCCAGCCAAACAAGAGGCTCTCAAGAGCCTGAATCACTCACCTGTATTTCAGAGGAGAAGATTTTTAAATGTTAGCAAACTTGATGAACAAATTGTGTAAAATTGTCTTTAAAGGGCAATAACTCCTTCAGGGGTAAATTAACTTTTTTGTAGATCTTACTTTGCTGAACATTATTGCTGCTTACAGTTTATATATATCTATAATAATAATCAAAATAATAACAAAAAAATGCAAAATTTTGTTAAAACTACCAATTCGGTGGCAGCAACCCAACAATGGGTTGTTCGATTCGTCTGATAATTTCAGGGCCGATAGATCTTGACCAATTAAACAAGTTTACCCCATGTCACATTTGCTCTAATAGATTTAGTTTTTGAGATATAAGCCAAAAACTGCATTTGACCCTTATGTTCTATTTTTAGCCATGGCGGCCATGTTTGTTGATGGATACAAACTTCAGATACAATTTATAAATAAGATACCCTAAGGAACATTCAGTTAAAGTTTGAAGGTAATTGGCCCAGTAGTTTCAGAGGAGAAGATTTTTAAATGTTAGCAAACTTGATGAACAAATTGTGTAAAATTGTCTTTAAAGGGCAATAACTCCTTAAGGGGTCAATTGACAATTATGATCATATTAACTTTTTTGTAGATCTTACTTTGCTGAACATTATTGCTGCTTACAGTTTATATATATCTATAATAATATTCAAAATAATAACAAAAAACTGCAAAATTTTGTTAAAATTACCAATTCGGTGGTAGCAACCCAACAATGGGTTGTTCGATTCTTCTGAAAATTTCAGGGCCAATAGATCTTGACCAATTAAACAATTTTACCCCAGTCAAATTTGCTCTAAAAGATTTAGTTTTTGAGATATAAGCCAAAAACTGCATTTGACCCTTATGTTATTTTTAGCCATGGCGGCCATGTTTGTCGATGGATCAAAACTTCGGATACAATTTATAATCTAGATACATTAAGGAACATTTAGTTAAAGTTTGAAGGTATTTGGCCCAGTAGTTTCAGAGGAGAAGATTTTTTAAATAGTTTACGACGACAACAGACGACGGACGACAACGGACGCCAAGTGATGGCATAAGCTCACATGGGGCCCTATGGCCCCGGTGAGCTAAAAAGTAGACAGTTAAGTCTCGAGTTTATATGCCACTTTGTCTAACAAACATAACTTTTTGCAACAAAAACAGAAAAAAATGGAATATCACACAATTTTAAAATCTTGCCACCTCTCCATGCATCAAAAAACAATGAAACTTACAAAACTTAAAACACTGTGTTTGGTGTCAATTTTTGCAGTTTTCCAATGTTGCTCACTTGAATCATTCTTCGTGTTAAATGTTGTATCATGTACAAACAGTGTTTTAACTTTTGTAAGCATACATTGTTTGTTGAGGTATGGAGAGGTGACGAGTTTTTATAAATGTGTGATATTCCATTTTGATCTGTTTTTGTTGCAAAAAGTGATGTTTTAAGCAGTGTCCATCTGTTTGGTATAAATTTTTGCAGTTTTCCAATGTTGCTCACATGAAGCATTCTTCGTGTTAAATGTTGTATCACTTACAAACAGTGTTTTAACTTTTGAAAATAATATACATTCTTTGTAGAGGCATTGAGAGATGACGAGATTTTAAAATTGTGTGATATTCCGTTTTGATCTGTTTTTGCTGCAAAAAGTTGTTTTAGGCAGTGTCCATGTGTTTGGCGTAAATTTTTGCAGTTTTCCTAATGTTTTGTCCACAGAAAATCTTATGTCTTTCTGCTCGCATGCATTAACTTTTATAGTAGGCATACAATACTTTAAAGGATTGAAGATGAAAAACTTGTATTGTCATTTTAAAATGATAAAATTTATTTCATATATATATATATGAATTTCCATATAAATATCAGATCATTTCAAAATTACATACCGGTACATATAAATCATAAAATAGATGCTCCTTTAATCAAATATGATTTGATCAATTGTACCACTAATAATTTAAGTTGACTTAAAAATGTCTATAAAAGTCTATCCCTACGAGACATGTATATCTTGCTATAGAAGTCTCTGTTTTGTACAAGTTTGTCCACAAAACATGTTTAACCCCACCGTATTTATGCGCATGTCCCAAGTCAGGAACCTCTAGCCTTTGTTAGTCTCATGTCTTTTAATCTTAGTTCATTAATATGTTTTAGAGTTAAGGGTGGCGTCCATTTCACTGAACTAGTATACATTATTGTTTAGGGGATAGCTGAAGCCCGCCTCCAGGTGCGGGATTTTCTCCCTGCGTTGAAGACCTATTGGTGCCCTTGGGCTGCTTTCTGCTCTCTGGTCGGGTTGTTGTCTCTTTGACACATTCCCACTTTCCATTCTCAGTTCTATTCTAAACTACATCTGTATTTCTTGATCAAGTTTCAAGAGAAACAAATTAGACCTTATCCTGGTATGTCCAGAAAATGTTTTTTTCAAGTCCTATCAATATAAGTATATAAAAATTAAATCTCATTGAGTTGGAAGGAACCATCTAATTTCAAAATTTTAAAAACAATTTTTGTTAACAAGGAAACCCATTATTCATATTAAAATACTTATTGACTATATTACAGACAAACACTTTTTGTATGTCATATCATTAGCACATAGGTACCGAAACATTTAAAACATTTTGAAATACAAATGCATGTTCTAGACCTAAGGTTTCCCTCAGGCAATGTTGACATGAATCAGATGACCTGTTTGTGTTTGGTTTTCATTTTCCCAAATGTTCTACTGTATTTTGTCGTGTATAATACACACTTTTTATCCCAAAAATGTAGTTGGTATAGAGGGGATGCATATTATACACAACTGTAGAGGGTTTTTGATTTAAACAAATTTTTTTAGATTTTTTTTTTTATTAATATTGTTTTTTTCTTCTTTATTGTTTATATTCCAGACTTTTTCATTTTATTTATACAGTGTTCTTCTCAGAAATTTCTTATACCATCCTGGTAAACAGGAAATTATTAAATACCATCTTGTTTCGAGAAATTATATCATCACATCCATAACATTATCTATAAGAAATTATTTCAGATAACATCACATTCTAGCAATATAGTATCACATTACCATGATGCTAAAAGGCCCTGGGGAGAACACTGTTTATATATATTTGTATTTTTTTGAATAACGTTTTTTCCTTCATTATTGAATATTCAAAGTCCAGACTTCAAGTCTCAAGATGGTCTGCTGAAGATAATTATTATATGTGTTATGCAGACTGAAATCTGTCTATCAATTAATTTTTGTGTGGTTGTTATTTTGCCTGGGGTATTTTCCTACATCATAAAAACATAAAAAACATAAAAAGTGATTAAAAAATTGAATTACATGTTGGCAAATTATGCAACTTTTTTTTAACTGTAATTAGTAATTTAATGACCACAGATAATAAAAAAGACGAATTACAAAGTCAAGATCAAACATATATAAATGTCAATCTAAAGTATATATCAGTTATAATAGAGTCAAATACTTCAGAATTTATCAATATCAGTTACATGTATTTCTTATAAATTACAATTTATACTACCCTAAACAGACCTAAAGCCTTAGTTTACAAATGTAGTTTAGGATTAATAGTTTAAATAAGTATACAATATAAAAATAAGAAGATGTGGTATGGTTGTCAATGAGACAACTCTCCATAAAAAACCAAATGACACAGAAATTAACAACTATATGTCACTGTATGGCCTTCAACAATGAGTAAAGCCCATACCGCATAGTCAGCTATAAAAGTATACACAGTACACAAAGTGAATCCTAAACTGTGTTTTAAAACAGATGTGAATCTATAAAAAGCTTAAGTTACTGTGGGTTCATTTATTTTCGTGTGTACCAATTTTCGTGAATATTTGATCTCGTGGTTTTACCAAAGTCTGCATGCAAGCATATGAAATATTTTGTATTTCCTTGAACATCTTAATTCCTGGTTCACCTTTACCCACGAAATCCACAAAAAAACTGGTACCCTACGAATAATAATGAATCCACAGTATACACCTTTTGTGAAATGCAATCTTGACAGCTATACAAACATTGTGTGAATCTTATATCTACAATATAAACAATAAAAGATCAAAGCATGTTAAAATGAATAAAAGTATGTTTATGTTGCCATATTATCAAAAATAACATGACCAAATTAAATTCTGACCATGCAGTCGAAGGAAAAAACATTATGGAAACACTGACATATTATAATTTGAACATAGAAATTCATGAATGCTTTTGACTAAAATGAATGTTAAAAATAAAATTTATTGCTGTTGGTTTTTTAAAAATAAAGGGATTATCTAAATAAAATACAGTTCTCATTCAACTACATATTAGTTTGTCTTATCAACATAACATGAAAAATTATTTTGAACTGAACAACTTAGACTAAAGATGTAATGACACAATCTGACTTGATAATATTATTTCATTCTTAAATGTGTAACATGACATTGTAGAGTTGTCTCCCATAGTCCATGTTTTGAACATAGGTAGATATTTCTTAAGAGTACAAATGACATCATTTATCAAATACTTATGGCAATTACAAAATTTTGATGTCTTTTTTAATGATTTTAGACAATTCATTTACTTGTCAAACATGTTATTGAAATTATGAATATTCTAAACAGGACATTTTCTAGTCTTTCAAACCAACAGTTGATCCTACTATTAAATTGTATGACAGGGTCGTAAACTAAAATGTTTTATAACTCAAAAACCAGCAATCATCCTGTTTCCTTGTGATTCACTCAATACTGTATCATCATGGTTGACAATATTTTACAGTTACAATTTGTTATATACACAAGACAATTCTATTAAAAATCACTAATCAAAATTTGGGTGAATCACAGTAAAACAGGATGAAACCTAGTTTCTTACTTCCACCTGCAACCCTGCCAAATTACATCTTGAATATATATTTGAGAGTGAATCCCACATATTTACCAGTATTTACTGTCAAAATTCACAGCCAACAGTGATTAGTTACTGAATTACTTTGTGAGCTGTATCATACATGTATATTTTTGCCAATGAAATATATAATCAGATTTTTTTTTATTTTTCATCACATATCATCCTCAAATAAAATCAGACCCTTGAGACTAAAATGTATAAAAATGTTGGAATCAGGAACATTTTCTTGATTGAAATCAAATCATTGAGGTCAATGTTCAATTATATGCTCCAATGATTAAAAACAATAATATTTTCGCTCATTTAGTACAAGTAGTACACATTTTAGAAATCTGATTTCTTTTCTTGGTCAAAATGTTGGATGGATACTAGAAAAAGAGTCATTTCCATTTTCATCTAAGTATGACATTCATGGCAATAAATAAAACTTCACAGTCTGTCCACTGGTACCCTACACTAAACACTGGTTTAAAAATACATGTCTCCTCGTATTCTTCTCGCCAACCATATATCCTTGACCTGAATTGTCACCCTTTTGGCATGTATGGCACACATGTTTGCATCCTCAAATAAATGAACTATGAAAGCTTCAGCAGCCTACAGAAAACAACAACAAAAAGGCTCATTATTCTAAAGTAAAAATACAATTTCTAATATTTCAAACATTTTTCTTGTTGGATTGCTTACTTATCTCTATTATCAATATTTGTCAGGAAATTATTTTCTGGGTAAAAAACATACTGGTAGGTAAAATGCAAAATTTGTTGTAATTTTTTATATCCAAGGAGCAGTACCCCAGTTGATTCATATCATGAACTCATGGAATTTCAGTTAGAATTGCCCAAAGCTCATTGCAAGTTCAGGATAGCCTCTAGCAACTCTCTCGGCAGAATTCTTAGATGTCCATAACACTAAATCTGTACATTGAAGTACACAAATACATGGTATGTCAACAAATCATAACAAGGAAAAAATGTAACAAGTACTGTGATAACCTGCCCAACTACCTCTTTTTCAAATACTGGAACAACATTGCTTTAAAACTGACAAATCTCCCATATGTTACATAGGGCCTTTGTTGCAGAGTGGTCTAAGTAGTTCAACATGTATCACTCAAGGTTGGCAAAAAAGTGGTCAATACTAGTATTGACCAGGCCGGCGGTAAATACCGGTATTTACCGGGAAATACTGGCAAATACTGGTCAATACTGGCAAATACTGGTCAATTGAAATTTTGATAAGATATTACTATTAAATACAGTCCCTACCTGGTCAACTACAGGGTAAATGGACAAATATATTCACAGGACAGAAAGTCACTTATTTACTACATTGTAAAGGACAAAAACTCACAATTAATTAGTTTACAAGTGTTTGAATATGTAAGGGAAAATCCTTGAAATGAATTCATTGTAATGTTTATGAGATCGATAATGAACATGGTTAAATGAAGATTTATTAAATATTAATCCTACAAAGGATATTTCTTGGTACCATGAAGCCAGTCAAGAAAAAGACTATGACAGCTTGTTTTCTTAACAGTAATTTCAGCAAATGTAATAAAACAATGTCTTAAAAATTAGTCTTTTCTTAATTAAAGAAATAGTTCTTTCAAAATTGCATTGTGACTTTCAGTCCTGTGATATTTAGCCCTACATTCAATAACTGTTAGTCATGAAAATATGAAAGTTTTCAAGTCAAAATTAGACTTTTTTAATGTTATCTTTTCTTATATAAATTGAAATTATACATGAACACATCATGGACAATGATTATTAGAATAAAATTAAAGAAAAAGAAAAACAGCAGCCAAAGTATAGATCCTTCAAAAATTTCCAGTTTCTGTATTTACAGGATTTAGTTTTAGAAGATATTTATCATGCAGTTGAATAGTCAGGAATAAAATAATTGTTTTAAACAGTCTTCAAAAATAACTTTTATGACTTTTTTCCTGTTATGTCAACATTTATTAGGGGACAGTTGTAATATTGAATAAACTTTTGACACCTGCTTGCCATTTAATAGGTAATGCCCTGATAATCTAGTCACCTGTAATTCTATTTACCTGTTAAAATCAAACCTTTTCAAGAAAAAAATATACATATTTTATACATGTTGAAATAACTGATATAGCAATTTTATATTCATACCTAAACTATGTTATATCATTACCCATAAGAACTGAATAAGTCATTATTCATGCTAATAATTGATAAAACATACCAATATCAATCCTTTTTATAAACTTAATCATGCCATATGAATAAAGTTAAAATAATTTCCCCTATCAACTAAGATTTAACTAACATTGATAGTAAAATCTGTCAAAAGAACCATGAAAATTTCAATTGTCCAGTATTTGCCAGTATTGACCACTTGAGGAGTATTGACCAGGGCGGTAAATACCGGTAAATACCACTGGTAAATACCGGGGGTGGTATTTACCGCCCAACCTTGGTATCACTAGCCTGTCAAAACTAAGGTTATGAATTCGAACCACACACGTGGATAGTGTGCTCTACTCCAATATAAATTGACAAGAATTGTCAGTTTTCCTGCCCAAGGTGGTGGTTCTCCCATGGCTATCCAGCTTCCTCCAACAATAAAAACTGACTCCCACAAATCAACCAACAGTCCTTATAATGTCACAGACAAATTGTCATTTTTCTGAAAGCATTTATATTTAGGTTTAAAAAAGTGGTGATTAAATATAATAATTATTTAAATTTACATTAAACATATTGGAAAGGGTTTGGTGTTTTGAAATAATATTACAATGGTTGATATATTGGTTCAGTGATATTGTAGTCTTTTTTCAAAACTACCTCTACCGTTTTTGTTTGGGAAAAATGCATAATTTTTATTGAAATTGGGAAGTTGGTTTTATTTTTTTTTAAACACATCTCCGATTTTTTGCTAAACTTTACTGTCTTTTTTGCACAGTTTCATCACATATATTTTGATTGTCAGACATTTTAAACCTGAAAGGTACTTTTTGTGGAGGGGAAAGAGACGGAAACAATGATGGTACTTAATGCATTGAAAACCACCTGTTACAAACACCGTGATGATTCTGATCAGAAACCTGGATCTCAAAAGCACTTTCATAATATCAAAATAATAACATGAATACGAAATTTACATTCATTAATTCCAACTCCATCACTTTTGGGAAAAATGTAAAACTTATTGGGAGGAATTTTAAGCCATTTTTTTGAGTAATTGGGAATTTTCTCTAGGGGAAAAAGCTGAATTTCGGATGTAATTTGAGGCAAACAATATTACTGTGGTTTATCCTATTAGGTGGAGACACTATATATATATATACATATTTTATTTCAGTATACATGTATTTGGCAAATAAACCCCAATATTCAGGCTCCTTGAAGCATCTACATGTATTTGAAATTCTTTAAAAGTGCTTAAATGGCATAAACTACTTATACTAACCTCTTGCAAAGCACAAATTGCCATTGCATTCCATCTTAATGGTTCATGACTGATAGCCATGGCAATTTCTCTCACCTGCAGAAAACAACATTTAATTACGGTTCAACATATACAAAAGTTAAGAACATTTAACAAAATATTTTTCTGATATAATAAACATTTTTTCACTATCAGGACTATATTTTCATTGACAGTCTGAAGGGAATCTTAGATTTCAGGCATGTGTTTCAAAAGAGATCTGACAATTTATAATGATTGGTAATTTGCATAGTTTGATTAGAGAGATATACTAATAGTTGTCAGCCAATGTCAGGGCTGTTCCATATACATACACGGGAACTGCAGAACACACATTGAAATTTCATCTTTAGTTGGATGTTTTTGTACAGTGAAAGCGTAAGATAAATTCAAAAACTACCGTTATAGATGGTAACTACATGTACCTCAACTCCAAAGTGCCTTCCTTGTATGTTTTAATGAAACAGCCCTCACTGTAATAAACTTGATAAAAAAAAGTCCATATCATTAAATTTAAGATGTTTTAATCTGTGGTGATAGCAACAATACTACTGTACTACTTCCCGGGTATAACTTATAAGAGTAATTTTCATATACATTGTACTTGAAAATGTAAAAGAGTTTAATGTTTCAATAATCCCTTTTCACAATACAGAACAATACAGAACATGCTTAATAAATTTATTTAAGTAATTTATTTTTACAACCCCTGGAATTATTAAGTTTTGGAAAGTCAAATAAAATTGAGAATGGAAACGGAGAATGTGTCAAAGAGACAACCCGACCAAAGAGCAGAAAACAATACATGCCTCAAATACTTTTGTCATTGCTGGTGTAACATTTTTAATAAGAGTTTAATCTTTTATTTCAAGAACTTTATAAATAACTGTTTTAAGCATAGATGCTTAGTGAATGTGCAAGGCTTACAAATTTTGCCTAGAAGCTTGTAAATAGACAGTATTTTGAAAATAACATGTTTTTCATGAATAGTAAAGACAAACAAGTAAACACATATGTCATTACAATGTAATCAAGAGAAATCCAAAAAGAGAATAATAGAGATTTCTTACTTGTATATTAAACTAGAGGCTCTCAAGAGCCTGTGTCGCTCACCTGTATTTACAGATGCTTTGGAAATCATGTAAAATAAGGTTAAAATCATAATTAATAGTATTAGATATTAGATATTATAATAATACCTAAGATAATAACAAAAAACTGTAAAATTTCTGTAAAATTACTTACTCAGGGGCAGCAACCCAACAACGGGTTGTCGGATTCGTCTGAAAATTTCAGGGCAAATAAATCTAAATCTGATGAACATTTTTGCCACCTGTCAGATTTGCTCTAAATGCTTTAGTTTCAGAGATATAAACAAAAATACTGCATTTTACCCCTAATGCTATGTTCTATTTTTAACCAAGTCGGCCATGATGGTTGGAAGGCGGGGTCATCGGACAAATTTTTTAAACTAGATACCCTTGTAATGATTATTGCCAAGTATGGTTAAATTTGTCTCAGTAGTTTCAGAGAAGAAGATTTTTGTAAAAGATTACAAAAATTTACGAAAAATTGTTAAAAATTGACTATAAAGGGCAATAACTCCTAAAGGGGTCGACTGACAATTTTGGTCATGACAACTTATTTGTAGATCTTACTTTGCTGAACATTATTGCTGTTTCCAGTTTATCTCTATCTATAATAATATTCAAGATAATAACCAAATACGGCAAAATTTCCTTAAAATTACCAATTTAGGGGCAGCAACCCAACAACATGTTGTCAGATTTGTCTTAAAATTTCAGGGCAGATAGATCTTGACCTGATAATCAGTTTTATCCTATGTCAGATTTACTCTTAATGCTTTGGTTTCAGAGATATAAGCCAAAATCTACATTTTACCCCTATGTTCTATTTTTAGCCATGGCGGCCATCTTGGTTGGTTGGCGGGGTCATCGGACACATTTTTTAAACTAGATACCCTAATGATGATTGTGGCCAAGTTTGGTTAAATTTGGCCTGGTGGTTTCAGAGGAGAAGATTTTTGTAAAAGTTAACAGACGACGACGGACGCCAAGTGATGAGAAAAGCTCACTTGGCCCTTCGGGCCAGGTGAGCTAAAAACAAATCTGGATATCTAAGGGAGATAATTCTGCTTCCAAAATAAGTTAGCCTTAGCAGTAATTTACTAAATAAAATTGATTTGTACCCATGACTGTACTACATGTATGTTAGAAATTGGACTGTATTTTACAAAATTACAATGTAAAAGTCTTCAAAAATCAAATCTATTATTTGAAAAAAAAATCTAAATAAGATGTTTGTGAGAAACATGTTTTGAAAATGACCTTTTACCTATACATGTACATGATGTACTGTACATACATGTATAAAATATTTTTAGGAAATGAAAATAAATTTCAAAATTCAGTATGCATGAAATTACAGTATTGTGACAGTGTTACTGTACATTGTATCTGTTTTACATATTGGGAAGTACTGTAATATGATGATAATGGTATTAAAAAATACTTGTGCAATTTCACTCAAAAGTAAGTAAATGTAAGCAGAATTGAGATACATGTACACAAAGTTTACAAATTTTGTAATCTTACACAAAAAATTAAAATTAATTACCACTCTTGAAAAAGGTAGTTTTCTTATAAGAAGATTGGTTGTCTTTTGGTACTGTCTAATTTCCATTAATGCCCTAGTTCCAGCTCTAAATCTTTTCTTTTTCCGTAATGATCCATCTAAATTAACTGAAAATAATAGATGAAAAAAATTAATGTTTTAACCAGATCATTTTTCTGAAAACTTTTTTTTCAGTTGTGCCAAATTGTTGCCATTTGTTGTCTTTCGGGGGATAAATTTTATTCATTTGGTGTGATGGAATTGTTTACCAGAATATATACGTAGTTACAGTATGTTGTGCATCATATTTTCTTTTTTCAATTTTTGTTGGTACACATATTATTGTAAATTGTTTTTTTCAGTCCAATTTCATTTCATTGAAGAGTTCTGTACGGCACTCAGGGTTTCCACTGGCAGTCGTGCAAAATAATATAATTGTGGCAATTAAAAATCATGATTGGCAAAAGAACTTGGTGAAAGAAATATAACGGTTGGACTTTGTCCATCTTGTTTATTTGTATTGTTTAATGGAAATCCGAGGTAAAATGGGGTCATGTGTCTGACACCAAAAGGATTGCTTTAACAAGCTTTAATAGATAAACTGTTGACACAGAGATATGTCTCGCCCGTCAGCATAAAATTCAGAAAAAGACAATCGGACGGACATTGCTGGACCATGAACCAGTGGACAGGGTCTCGAAATGGTCAACAAACTGAGATGCTTCTTTTAAGAAAGCCAAGTGACTTGACTGCACTAGATGTAATATTTTCATAGTGGTTGTTTCATTTTAGGTTCAATTGTAATGTTACACCTAGATAATTTGCAATTGTTACAGGTTCTAAAATATGGGTATGGAGTATGTTATCGTGCTTGAATGGTTTTTTCTCTCTGTGTGATGGTAAGTATAGTGCATTTGCCAGGATGGAAGGCCATAAGTTAATCAGCCTCCCATTTGGCAGTAACGTCAAGGTCTGATTGTTGTTTTTAACTGTCTTCTTACCATGTAATTTCTCAGTATATAATGCTTTCGTCATCAAAGTGTCTTAATTTACTGTGTTCTAAACATTTTAGAAAGTCGTTAATGACATTAAAAACATTATTTAGAGAAGGTTTGCTGACTTCTTACCCTTTTACAGGCCTGATTTTATAATCAATTTAATGGATAATTATCAGTCAGGGGAATTTCTAAAATAAGTGATTTCTAAAATCACTTATTTAAGTAGCAAATTTGAAATTTTGTCACAAATTGTGATTTTTTAGTTTTACCAAAATTTTAAACATATAGGTTTAGATTATATCTTATTATTAGTAAAATTGGAAAAAATGAACCTTTTTCTTCTTTTAAATAGCAAGGTTTATTATGCCTTTGCTGCAATCATTTAGCTGTAAATTCTATATTTGTTGAAAAAATGCTTTAATGAAGGCTTTACATAATGAACTGATACTTTCTTAACAGATTTTTCCCAGCAGTGGGAGTAATTTTCCTGTAAATTCAAGGCTTCATCTTACAGATTATGTAATAAAATTTTATTGTTCGCGATCAAAATTTCACTGTTCATGAGGGAGGGGTGTTGAAATTAGTGGGGGTAATTAAAATAATAATACTTAAAGAAGTGATTTTTTGGAAGAAAAATAGAGGTATGATACTTAAACAAGTGATTTTCATGTCATTATCCCAGTTTCAGTACAAGGTCATCCTATCAACACAAATGTTGGTTCTGATCATTTTAGCAACATAATTAGCCCCTGGATCATTAGTATTGTATATTTAAAAATTAAAGCTACAATCAAATTAAATCACTTAGTCTAGTGATTTATTTGTACTACTTAATTAGGTGATTATTAAAGAAAGAACTCTTACTTTCAACATTTGTGGACAAAATGTTACTTCAATCAGTGATTTAAAAATCACTCATTTAAGTAAGTCCCCTGACTGATTATTGCGAAGTTATCTTAATACACAGGATCACCTGCCTCATATTATGACATGTATGAGGAACAAGATTTTATTTTATTGACAGAAATTATCAGGTCAGAATGTGCTGTTATTTGACATTTGTTTTAATATGGGGACGAAGTCCCCAATTACAGTAGAAAAATCAATAAAAAAAAATAAAAAATAAAATCAATCTACTAATGAACTCAAAATTGTTAACTTTTTATTTTCTAACTTTTTTATTTTACCGCATTTGTGCAGAAATCTCCTTCCTCCTTCAGTCAGGGGTACTACTTGTACAAGTAATCTTTATTTACTTGAAGAAGTAAATAAAATATACTTATATAAGTTAATTATAATGTTTGAATAATCTCCCCTTAATTTTCTCAAAAATTTACTTGTATAAGTAATTTTTTTTTACAATCCCACAAAGTTCTCAAGTTTTGAGATGTAAAAACATGCCTTTAACAATTTTTTTCAGGTTAGCTCGTAATTTTTTATTAGAGTTCAATGTTTCATTTCATTAATTCAACAAAGAAACTGATTGCGCAAAGATCTTAAGTATTTGCGCAAGGCCTTCAAAAATTGCCCCTTGGGGCTTGTAAATGAGCAGTGTTCTGAAAATAACAGACAAATGAGATTTTCATTGTCCATGAAATTACACTTAAATGATTAGTAAAGACATCTGCAAAGGACAGACAATTAAAAATTCTATAAGAGCAAAGAAGTCCTAAGAATTCAAGAAAAGAAGATAGGATGACTTTTTTACTTGTATAAGTAAAAAAATCTGAATGTCTAAGGGACATTATATTTTACTAAGCCCAATTTTTTTTTTTTACCTATACAAGTAAATAAAATACACTTGTATAAGTATCCTACAAATTTACTTATATAAGTATATTAATATTTACTTCTTCAAGTAAATAAAAATTACTTGTACAAGTAGTACCCCTGACTGTCCTTCCAGTCACGTTTGTCATGAGACTTTGAGTAAAACATATATTTATCAGTCTAGTAAAAAATAGGAAGGAGCACAATAACAATTTCATTTTTAATATTTCTTTGATATGAAAAAACGTTACCTGATGATAGCAGTTCTTTGTTTACATTGAAAATGACGTCATAACTTAAATACACCTGATCGCTTTTTGTCCGCCATTACTGGACATCACAAAAGTTCCCGTAAAATTTTGACGTCATAACAGAAAATATCTGACACCACAATGGAAAAGTGATTGTTGTATGACGTCAAAAGTTCAAGCGGGAAAGATTCTCGGGTCAAGCGGGAATAGCGATAAGGTGTATGACGTCACAACTAAAATCCCTAACAACAGGACCAAAATCGGAAACGTTACGGTATTTCCGTTTCTTTTTGAACAGATTTTGAAGTTAAAAATAATTCATAATATGACATATGAACTTCATCCCCTTTCACAGGTAATGCCTGTCTCATATTATATATATATCTTGCTTAGCTTTTATTTTGCATATATGCTATCTATGTATTAATATATGTATGTTTGTGTCGGTACCTCGAATCACCGAATAACACCGTTATTAACCAAATAACACTTGTAAACACCGAAAAACACTTGAAATTTTAATATTAGCACATATTGGTGACATTTAATCATTGATTATTAAATAATATTGTATTATAAGTGTATTTTATAACTTAAAAATTATTTATAGAAAGCAGGTAAGTTCATAAAGATCGCATTAAATATTAGTGTGTACATCCAACATGGCGACCAAGGAAAACACAATGGGAAGAATAAAAGAATGATTGCATATGCATACAAAGGGAAAAGCTATGAAAATAAAATATTAAATAATGTACTGTATATACAGAGTATTGTCCAATAATTGTTTTTCAGTAAGGTTTCGAAAAGTTAACAAGTACATCAAAGCCATGCAATTACTCCAATCACCAATTAGTTTTCTTAACGATTTACTCAATATTGAATGAAACGTAATTAAGAATTTTCACATATTTAATTTAAATTTAATCAAAAAATAAACGTAATTAAGAATTTTCACATATTTAATTTAAATTTAATCAAAAAATTAATTATACTTGATTGTTTTATAATAAAAACAAAGCAGCTGAATGGATGATTCGTATGTGTGTATTTTCTCAAAAAGAAATTAAAGGTTTTCATTGGCAAATATTAATGTTTTTACAAGTAACTAAAATTTGGTATAAAAACATGTGAAGACATATGTGCTGTCTTCCATTTTTAAAATGGCTTTATATCCTTGTGTTCAATGTGATGAAGAATGTGTTGATTGCACAATTCAGTGCAGTAGTTGTGATCGTTGGGTTCACAGTGCTTGTGTCCCAATGAATGATTCAATGTTATCGGCCTGGTCAGATATGTGTCTCTAAAGTTCCTATGTAAGGACTGCTGCTTTACAGACAACAAGTACGACATGGCCAAGTCCCTAGAAAGGTAAGTAATTTTATAAAGTATATTTTCAACATAATATTTATTAGAATGTATATGAAATATATAAAGAACAAATGTGAAATTGTATATATATTTAATTTTAATGAAGACATTAATTTCACTAATTCGATTATATTTAACTTGTTTCTTATTTCATTTTCTTTTGGCAATATACATTTGTATATTCAATTTACTTAATTTACTAAAAATTCTGAAATAAAAGTAAAGGAAAAAAAAATAATATTCTTAGTATTGACGTTTAATTATTTTTTTATTGCTATGTTCATCCATTTTAATAAATTAAATTAAGTTTAATAATGAAATATTTTTTGCCAATTAGATAATTTAATTGTGATAATGCCAAGTTCCCAATTATCAAAATATTTATTACCTTACAGTTCTATCATATTGTTAATTAGATTGTTGTTTACTGACACGTGCCCATTACATAATTAATCATTAAATGATAATGAAATTATATTACGGTATGGACACTCTGCATTAAACAGGCTTGTGACTGTCTTAGTATACCAAGGCTGCATTACCAAAACCAATATGACCAAGGCCAAGTCCCTAGAAAGGTAAGTAATTTTATAAAGTATATTTTCAACATAATATTTATTAGAATGTATATGAAATATATAAAGAACAAATGTGAAATTGTATATATATTTAATTTTAATGAAGACATTAATTTCACTAATTCGATTATATTTAACTTGTTTCTTATTTCATTTTCTTTTGGCAATATACATTTGTATATTCAATTTACTTAATTTACTAAAAATTCTGAAATAAAAGTAAAGGAAAAAAAAATAATATTCTTAGTATTGACGTTTAATTATTTTTTTATTGCTATGTTCATCCATTTTAATAAATTAAATTAAGTTTAATAATGAAATATTTTTTGCCAATTAGATAATTTAATTGTGATAATGCCAAGTTCCCAATTATCAAAATATTTATTACCTTACAGTTCTATCATATTGTTAATTAGATTGTTGTTTACTGACACGTGCCCATTACATAATTAATCATTAAATGATAATGAAATTATATTACGGTATGGACACTCTGCATTAAACAGGCTTGTGACTGTCTTAGTATACCAAGGCTGCATTACCAAAACCAATAATAATAATTAAGAAAAAAGAACACAAATAAATATTTACAACTATATACAATATATGTACTTCCTAACTATATCTTCTGTAAAAGTGTAATAAGCTTTATTGTTTCACAAAGAATTTTGGATTATTTAAAATAATAAAATTTTTCTTCAGAAAAAAAAAATAAAAAAAAAATTTATCTAAACTTATTTGATATGTTTAATAAAATACTTTTTTTTTGCAAAATTCAAAAGACATTCGATGTTAAAAAATTTTCTTCAGAAAATAAAACTAAAAAAAAATTATTTAAACTTATCAGTTTGATATGAGTTTTTTTCTGTTTAATAAAATACTTTTTTTTTGCAAAATTCAAAAGACATTCGATGTTAAAAATTTTTCTTCTTCTTGAACAAAATACATTTCACGTGGAGTCAATGAGAAAATATTTCAGTTCATTTGCTAACTTTGTTAATAAACCAACTGACCGACTTCCTCAAAGCTACTAAGAAGGCACGGTAGCCTTCTTCAGTGAAATGTATCCCGTCGCGAGCTTCGTATTCCGTCCGATAAACATTAGTTGGCTTGAAATAATGTACAAAATGATTTTCAAGAGCACTGCTTTTCATCATTTTGTTCACTATCTCTCGGCGAAGTGTATGCTCATCGGGAGTGCAATACCAAGGCCCAGACCGCTTCATAACAGACATGAATACTACTGATACTCTCTCGAAAGACAAGCATAAATGAAAGTATTCATGTCTGTTTTGAAGGCAGACTCATCAAAAGAATATCTGTCACAATCATTGCTACCTATTTGGCAAATAACCACTTGTGGATTATAATGCACAAACAAGCCAGCCTCAATTGCTTCAGTCAATCTCTTGAAAGTGGCACCAGGATAACCATGCATTTGAACAGAGACCTTCCCATGAGCATTAGACGGGTTCTCCCAGGTATGGGGTTTCCACCTATTCTCACACAAACGTCTCAAATTGTATAATATTTTTATTGCACTTACTTTGTTGCTTACTTCTTCTGTTTTATTGGTAAGTATATTGTATTGTTGATACTGTTTATTTGAATTGTGTTGAACTTTTTAACCATTGTATGTTTATAACTTACTTTTAACTGCTTTCTTCTTCTGTTTCATTGGTAAGTATATTGTATAATGATTATGTATTGTTCATGCTGTTTATTTGTATTGTGTATATTTTTTCAAATTGTTCATGCTTTTGTTTGTATTGTGTATACTTTTCTATATTGTTCATGCTGTTTTTTTTTATTGTGTATATTTTTTTTTTACTGGTAGGTACATGTATACGTTCCAACCAATGTATGTTAATAATCTATTTTAATTGCTTTCTCCTTATGTTTAAGTAAGTATATTGTATTGTTTATGCAGTTAATTTGTATTGTGTTTAATGCATTTTTCTTTTACTGTTCCCCATTGCTGTTTTATAGACTGGATAAATAATGCATGCATGTATAGTATTGTTGCGCAGGTTTTCAGGTACAACTTGTAGAAAATATTTTTTAACAATAAGTTCTAAATAAATTGTTTTCGCGGACTATGACAGAAAAGCCCGTTCCTTGTGCAGGATATCTTAGTAGTTTTAAATTTTTACAATGAAATTCTAAATAAATTCTAAATAAAATGTTGTTTTCGCGGACTACGACAGATAAGCCCGTGCCTTGTGCAGGATATCTTAGTAGTTTTAATTTTTCACAATAAAATTCTAAATAAATTGTTTTCGCGGACTATGACAGATAAGCCTGTGCCTTGTGCAGGATATCTTAGTAGTTTTAATTTTTCACAATAAAATTCTAAATAAATTGTTTTCGCGGACTATAACAGATAAGCCCGTGCCTTGTGCAGGATATCTTATTAGTTTTAAAAGGGCTTGGTTACTCTCCATTTTTAAATTAAAAAATATAATATTATTTTTTTAATAACTATAAACACAAAAATTATTATTGTAAACAGTTAAATATTCCATATTTTTTTAATATGCCCATCCTCACATTGTTCATTGCCTTGACATGGCGTGAGGGCTCCACTTTGGTGGTCTAAAATGAACACGTTGAGGGATTGTATGCAATCATTCTTTTATTCTTCCCATTGTGTTTTCCTTGGTCGCCATGTTGGATGTACACACTAATATTTTATGCAATCTTTATGAACTTACCTGCTTTCTATAAATAATTTTTAAGTTATAAAATACACTTATAATACAATATTATTTAATTATCAATGTTTAAATGTCACCAATATGTGCTAATATTAAAATTTCAAGTGTTATTCGGTGATTACAAGTGTTATTTGGCTAATAACGGTGTTATTTGGTGATTCGTGTTACCCTGTGTCTTCTTCTTCTTCCATATACTGCCCACATTCAACATGATGAATATTCTGGCAAGTTTGATGAATATTCTGGCAAGTTTGATGAATATTCTGGCAAGTTGAAAAAGTTGTTTGTGTTGTATATGTAAATGTATCTGATGTTATTACATGTATGTTTTGTTATTTAATATCAGTCGTTAAAAAGCTCTTAAGAGCTCATGTTCCTTGTTATTATGTATATATGCAACCCAACTTTAAATAAAGATTACTTTACTTTAGAATATAATTCATATAATTTTTTGTCTTAAATTTTAAATAAAACCTTTTGATGCTAATGTTGGAGAAGTTCGTGAATGGTTTCCAGCATTTCTCTGTGGTGCTACCGATTTTCTACCAGAACTATGTCGTGTCATATTATCATTAAATCATATCAAACAGAACTTCTGATAGGACAATAAATATTTGTTTTTTCATCTTTCAAATTTCCTGACATTTTTAGCACACATGCGCATGGATACCGGAAGTGTAGAACTGAAGATGGGACGGGAATGATCATATTCAGGAAAATAAATTTTGATGTTGAGGATCTGGGAGGGGCCTGATGGGGGGGGGGGGGGGGGGGGGGTCTCATCACGATTCACGAGTTGATTTTTTTGTCAATCACGATTCACAGAAAATAAATTTCCATGATCACGGATCACAAAATATAAAAAAAAAAAAAAATCTGTAGAAAAACGGATCACGATACGAAAATACGCCGATCACGAAGAACGATAATAACCCATCAGGCCCCTCATCTGGATGTGGTTTTATACAGAATAGAGAAAAAAGGTCAAAATAATAAAGAATATAGAGAAAATGGGGTGCTGAAATATGAAAAATATAGAGAATAAGGGTCAAAATAAATAAAAAGAATAGAGTAAAATGGTCTAAAAAGTTTTAAGGATAAAGAAATGAAGCCCCCCTCACATAGACCATTATAGATATAATAGATAAATGATTTTAGATTTTAAGATTTCACACATTTACATTGTTTGGGAGTTACCATTTGATTTTATGGGGGGGGGGGGGGGGGGCTAGGATTATAAATTGTTTCCTGCTTTTTTTTTAGTTGTAATCTCTGTCCTGCCTTTTTATTTTTCACACTGATTTTTCACTCTATTCGGTCCTGTCTTTTTTTAATTAGTTTATCCTCACTTTTTTTACATAAATTGTCATCCTGCCTTTTTTTTTTTTGCCAAGTTGCTCATCCTGCCTTTTTTTTTTGAGTATTTTTTTTTACCCCTCTGAACACATTTGCATTCCCTTTTGTCTTTGGAGGCCTCGGTGGCCGAGTGGTCTAAGTAGTTACTACTGTAATCACTAGCCAGTCAACACTGAGGTTGTGAGTTCGAACCCCGCTCGTGCGGGTGCACTCGACTCCAATCTTAATTGACTAGGCATTGTCAGTTTTCCTATTTTCCTATCGAAGGTCGGTGGTTTTCTCCGGGCACTCCGGCTTCCTCTACCAATAATAAACTGGCCGCCACGAAATAGCCCCAAAAGCGGTGCTTAAAAGTGGCGTTAAAACACCAAAAATCAAAAATCAAAAATCAACCTTTTGTCTTTGCACAAATTGTACAGTGATAGTAGGTTAAAGACCTCATCAGAGCTCACCACGGTTTCTTTGTTATTGTGTACATACTATATGCCAACTTTAAAGGGGCACTAGCTACGAGATAAATGAAAAATATAAAATATGATTTTTTTGTTCAATCAATAATGAAAGTGAAATAGTGAAATAATATATCGCTTTTAGCAGCCAGTATGGTTCAATTTTGTCAAAATAAGCTAAGAAACATTGATGATGAATTATTCACTTGCAAGTGAATAATTCGACCTCATTGAATCCGTATTCATGTGAACTTCAATTTAACCCCTTAGCTAGAGATGGATACCGCATGCTTTGTACGTGTTCAATTATTTAAATGAAAAAGATGTCAACATTGAAAGTGAAACAAAGGTAAACAATTTGATTGACTGATTCGATCCACAAAAAACATTCTTATACAGGTAAAAAAGATGATTAACATATATTTTTAATCTATAATATGAAATTAAACAGACCTAGAAAAATCCAAATGCACGAGTCTGATATCTATTTATATCTATATTTATGTTTATATCGCTTATATCTAGACTAAAATACACACGGAACGAAACTACATATTATCGAGCCCATGCCCGGTATATTGTTTATTTTAGACTTTTTATAATTTGGATAAATGTTTTACATTGTTATAAATCAAATAAGAGAATTTGAGTCAAATCGGTGAACATGAATTTGACAGCTAGTGCCCCTTTAAATACAATTTACTTACTTACATACTATGCAGACATTTATTATTTTTTTTCATTCAAACTACATATATAGATGATGTTAAATTGTTATTTGAATTGATTATACTCAGGATCTATCAAATGCGGATCCAGAATTTTGGAAAAAAGGGACCACCAACAAGTTAAGGTTAGAAATGGGACTTGTAAAAAGTCTACACATTAACCATATATATAGCTTAATCAGGGGGAACACTGCCCTCCCCCGGCACCTCATATAATTCCGCCTGGGATCAATAGATAACTATTAAATTTCACCGTAATAGTCACAGCTGTTACCTTCATCATTCTTAAAGTTTTTTGAGTCTGCTTTTGGTTGTTCAGAATCTGACTGATTTTACCGACCGGCGTACTTCAGGATGTCAATAAATGTAAACATAGAATAGCAGGTTGGCCAGTGGCCATGAGCACTTGCCGAGACTACTATAACACGGTGTTATGACTACTATAACACTGTGTTATAGTAGTATCAGGCCCTTGGAAGGGGGCACTTCTATGTATTGAGTGGCAGGAATGAGCCGCTGAAATAGATCACTATTTCAAGCTTCATAATATATGAAATTGTTTAGAAATTGAGATTAAATATATGATAAGGTTGCTGATTATATCTCAAGTATCTTAAATGTTTTAGTTTTTTACAGACACAACACAATTAAAACCACAGTCACATATGCATCAGATATTTGACAAATCTATTTTTACTCTCCCTGAAATAGCGTGATATAGCTATAGGTTTGTTTGTTTATTTATTTGTTAAAAAAAATCATTTGATAGATATGATTTTTTTAATACTCAAAATATATGAAAAAGGTAGAGTACTGGATTTAATGTCTCAGTTGCTAACCCCTACCACAAAAGGATCGAAGTGCCCATCCCCCAGGCGTGCCACGGTGAGTCATTAATCATTTCCTCGAGTGACCATCGTGTAACTTAGAAGAAAATGAGTGAATGATGCCTCTCTCTGTGCTCGCCATTTTAATTCTAATACAGTAGATTTCTTCTATTAGTTCGTCAGCACGATTCATAGTTTTCGTGACATCAATGATGGTAACAAGTAGTTGGGTTTTCAAGGTCGTCTTTCTGTGCTTAACATGATCAGTAAGGGATTTTATTAAGTATATCTGCAAATGTTTTATCATGTGGATATGGATTATATGTTCCATCGGCTTGCTTCAAAATGATTCTAGTGGCATTTGATTATAGTTTGAAAATGTACATACTTCTATCTCATTTCGCAAAAAAAAGTTTATTTAATGTGTCTTTTCAATCGTTTGAGATCTTGCCTCGATCTGCTGATGCTTTTAACAATATGGCTTATGATTCTATTAGTTATATTATATTCGTTTTAGCAACTGAGGTTTGTTTTCATCAGATTCTGTAGCCTTTGTGCGGGTACATTTAGCAGCAATTTCGATCATCACTCCTTCTTATTAACACACGAGAGGTTTGGAGTATTTGTGATTAACCGAGTCCTACCAAAGTCGCAAAGCTAGCGCAGCTCTTTATACCAATAAAAACAAACTGCATGGTTATTTAGGAGTTCTGTTTTGGTTTTGGCAATCACTGAGGAGACTACTCCTGGCCATCTCTTTTGGGAAATCCAAAGCTGTCTCTGCGAATCGAAGTCCTTTACATTTAATCACATTGTCTCTTGCATTGTCCACGTTACCTTGTGACTGGCAAAGTTTTTAATTATAGTTGGTATGATCAAGTCAGTTGACTAGAAAAGCAGATCATATACTTCAGAGTCTGAAAGTTAAAACAGTAGGACATATTTAGCATGAAAACAATATATATATATATATATACATTGTTGGAAAACATAAAATGTATTTGTACGAAATTTAGAAACAGGACGAAAAGCAGCACTTTAAGGTTTAGTTGTTTGTTTCAAAATTTCGTTAAATAATCAAGAATTTTCTCAATATACTGCCGAAATTTACTCAAAGGAACTTATTTTAAATAAATCAAATTTAAACGGTAACATCTGTCCTTTCCTAGATTTAGATATTTCGGTTTTACACGGGAAACTCTACATTAAAATTTACGACAATAGGGACGATTTTTCGTTATCTATTGTTAATTTTCCTTTTTTGGATGGTGATATAAAAAAGAAGATGTGGTATGATTGCCAATGAGACAACTCTCCACAACAGACCAAATGACACAGAAATTAACAACTATAGGTTACTGACAGCTAGTTCAAAGCCACTAACAACTAATAAAAAAAATCATGCACCTAAGACTAAATTATCAATCCGTACACATCCAACATCCAATGGATTTAGTGTAAAGATGTCATAAACAGTCAGAGAAAAACATGGCCTTGTGCAATGCCAAGATACAGGTATCGACAGATTGTAGACCCATGAATGTGTATATGTATATAACAATAATATTTAGTTTGCTTTTAGTTTACTGATAACAAAATCAATATTAGTACCAATAAAAACAATATTTAATGATCTAATTACAGTGTTGAATTGGTAACCTTTTAGAATAAGTTTATTTAAAGAATCGATAAGTTTACCAGGATCGTTTCTAAATTTCCGGGCACGGTAAACAATATTGCCGTAAAATGAGGATGTGCATGTTCCTTTGGCACCATCTTATGGTGTTTATATTTCACAACTCGTTCGCTATGCCCGTGTCTGTTGTGACGTTTTTGATTTTAACGAATGTAATCTATATTTTACTGGTAAATTATCAAGCCAGGGATTTCGTTACCACAAATTACTTAAAACCTTTACTAAATTCTTCCACAGATATAAAGATTTGGGTTTGAAGTTTGGTTGTACCTGTAGAAAACTTATTTCAAACGGGATTGCACATCCTCATTTTTACGACAATATTGTTTACCGTGCCCGGAAATTTAGAAACGATCCTGGTAAAGTTATCGATCCTTTAAATAAACTTATTCTAAAAGGTTACCAATTCAACACTGTAATTAGATCATTAAATATTGTTTTTATTGGTACTAATATTGATTTTGTTATCAGTAAATTAAAAGCAAACTTTTATTGTTATATACATAAATTATACATATTCATGGATCTACAACCTGTCGATACCTGTATCTTGGCATTGCACAAGGTCATGTTTTTCTCTGACTGTTGATGACGTCTTTATAC